ATCAGGAATGAAAAAGGAGAAATTACAACTGATACCACAGAAATACAAAATATCATCTATGAATACTACAAAAACCTATATGCATATAAACTTGAAAACGTGGAGAAAATGGACAAACACTTAGAAACACACAGCCTAGTCCCTAGGCTCAAACGGGAAGAAATAGAATTCCAGAACAGACCAATATCAAGTACTGAAATTGAAGCAGCAATGAAAAACCTTCCTGAAAAGGAATGAAATACTTTTAAACAATTACCGCCCTCCCCAGCATGGGTGTGGAAGTAGGGAAAGCATGACTGAAGTCCCATACTCACATCTCTCTGGGCCTCATAAATTTTGCATACCTCACATAGCTCAGACTACTCTGAGCTATTTTGCTTTTCTCATTTTCCCGCTTTTGATCAAAAATATTCCCTTGGAAGCACTGAAGGCCAATCTCTGCTTAGGTTAGAGTGATAAATGTCCTTCCTCACTCAGCACTGGGAAGGCTCATTCCCAGATGGTCCTGTCCCACTTTTGGGAGTTGGGGAAGGTATAAACACAATCTTGCTTATTCAACACTTTTTAGTGGATTCCTTAAGATTTTCTAGGATAAGATCATGGCTGTCAATTATATGTGGAATCTGAATAAAGTCGAATTCATAGAAACAGAGTAGAATGGTGGTTCTCAGGGGCTGAAGCAGTGGGGGAAATGGGGAGTTATTGGTCAAAGCGTACAAAGTGTCATATGCAGGATGAGTTAGCTCTAGAGAGCTAATGTACAGCATAGCGACTATAATTAGTAATCTTATTGTAAACTTGAAATTTGCTATGAGTAAGTAGTAGATCTTAAGTGTTTCTCACCACACACACACACACACAAACTTAACTATGTGAGGGATGGAAATGTTAATTAGCTTGATTGTGGCAGTCATTTCACAATGTATACATACATCAATACATCACATTGTACGCTTTCAATATATATAATTTGTATTTGTCAATTATACCTCAGTAAAGCTAGAAAAAATACAGGATCATTCCATCTGCAAATAGTGATAATTTTACTTCCTCCTTTGTGATCTGAATGCATTTTATATAATTTTATTGATTCCCATAACTTGGTTTTTTTGGGTTTTTTTGTTTTTTTTTTGTTTTGCTTTTTGAGACGGTCTCTCTCTGTCACCCTGGGTAGAGTGCAGTGGTATCATCATAGCTCACTGCAACCTCAAACTCCTGGGCTCAAATGATTCTTCTGCCTCAGCCTCCAAGTAGCTGGGACTATAGGCACATGCCACCACGCCCGGCTAATTTTTTTCTGTTTTTTGTAGAAATGGAGTCTCACTCTTGCTCAGGCTGGTCTCAAATTCCTGAGCTCAAGCAATCCTCCCACCTTGCCCTCTTAGAGTGCTAGGATTACAGGCATGAGCCACCACACCTGACCTCACATAACTTTTTAAAATATTAATACCATTTGTTTATTTAAAATAATATTTCCAAGCCAAGCACAATGGCACACACCTCTAGTTCCAGCTACTCAGGAGGCTGAGGCAAGAAAATCCCTTCAGCCCAGGAATTCAAGGCCAGCCTGGGCAACCTAGTGAGAAGTTGTTTCTAAAAAAGAAATAATCACACTTCCTCTGATCTTCTTGCAGAATCTTCTAAAAAAAAAAAAAGTTAATGATATCACATGGAGGGTGTGTGTGTGTGTATAGAACTACTAGCACCACTGGATCATTTCTCCAAAATAGCTTTGGTTATATTGCTGTTTCATAAACTAGGATTTGACAGCATCTGCAAATCGAAAGATGTAAGATTTTAAGTCATCATTTATTATAAAATATAAAATTAATAAGTTCTTCTTTATTTTTGTATACTTTTTTTAAAAGCCCAACTGAAGACAATAGAATTACTTTAAAGAACAATTATATAGGATGAATCACTATCTGTGTTAAAATTATAGGGTGTACAAAATAGAATGATTCAGGCTAGTGGTGGCAAAGGGAAATGCAACCTAGTGATTAAAAAAAAAAAGAAAAAATGTTTCTTTCAAATGATTTCAGGCCATTTGCTGGGATGTTTAGTCTCCATATATTCCATGCCTCATTATCTTTGCTAATAGAGGCAGTGGTACAAATTACACATCCATGTCTGACATCCAGAAATACATGTGGCTTTGAGATATATGATGTTTTGCCTTTTTTTTTTTTAGTAAAGAAATACATTCATTTAATTTTGTACTAGGTTGGTAGGGGGAAATATCTGGCTATCGATTCTTTTCTTACAAAAATTTTTTAATCGACATATAAAATTTTGTGTATTTGTCATGTATAATACGATTTATGAAGCATATACAGTTGGCCCTCCATATCCAGGGGTTGGTTCCACATCGAAGATTCAACCAACCAGCCACTGACCAAAAATACTATATTTTCGCAATGAGAAACTTGAGACCATGAAGAGCTGACTTTTAGCTGATTAACACATGCATCATCTCACATATAGTTGACCCTCGAACAGCATAGGTT